AATTGTTAAGACGGTAGAATGTGATCAGTAATAATGCGGCTCTATATTTTCAGAATTCTTCAGGCACATCACATTTTGCAAGCCATATAGTGTGAGCATATACTAAGCATGTCCATTAATGGACTGCACGCACCAGGCCCTACTGCCAAAAGGAGAATTGCTGATATATGGCATGCAATGGATTAATTACATGCTGTAACACTCTACAGGTTCGAAATGTTGGCAAGATCCACAATGAAGTCCCACTTAGCCAAGATCATACAATTCACTGGCCGCCACTTACCCAGTGGATCACACCAGTTTCAAGCCCCCCCCCCCCCCCCCCCCATTCACATCTGCTTTTCGTTGGGACCTATCAAATTGCAGGTTTTTCCTCATCAACTTCCGCACTACATTTTCGTTCATAACACCGCATTTCGCCATGACCCCTCAAAACAAAGTCCCACCGGGGTTCATGGTAATAAGGCTCAATAGGTTGCATTTGTAGAATACAATTTGTCTTTCAAAATTCAAAGTTGTCGTACACTTTGTGTGAAATTTTGAGTGAAATATACTTCCAAAAGTACTGTAATGTTTCCCTTATTTTATAATGCCTTGCTAACCCATAAAACCGTGCAAGGTTCTGTGCTCTGGTACACAGGGCGCCAACCGAGCTGTCTGTAAGAAATATGCCAGTAGAAGAAGAAAAAAAGGCCAGCAGGGGAAAAGGCAGATTTGCCGTCGCGACTTTTTATAACTTTCGGGAGAGTATCCGTTTTTTTGGGTGCCGTACTTTTTTGCAGACAGTGGCATTCCCTTTTATAACATTGGCCGGTGGCCTAAAAATAAGGAAGAATGACCCGTTCACGACTTGTGCCGCAACCCCGAAAGTGCTCACGCCTACGTTCGCGACACGCATTCAGCAGCGAAATCTTGTTAACAGCCAATCATCTTCCGCGCATTGTATCATACGTGCGCATCATCGCTTTTGCGATGATGCCATGCTGCCATGCCATGCCATGATGCCATCAGCGGCCATGCTGTCTTGACCATAAGCAGAAAACAGCCTGTATTATGACCGCGATTGCATGATGTTGCTGTGACGTCATTAATGCCAAGGCAACTTTGAAGTAGGCTCCCAGTAAAACTTTTCACACTTTTGCGGGTTTGTAACTCGGGAACCAGAGCGTTTTGGGTCTTTAAAAGGACATGACAATAAACTGCATCAAAAGGTCCTCAAGATGGTTATTTCAGTTCAAAACGCCATACAAATAAACATTCCCTTTAAGGGTCTCTGTCGCCTTTTTACCAGCATGGTGCGTATGCATAAGATATAAACAACCGATATGAAAATAAACTATGGCAGAATCCATGTGCAATACGTCCCAGCAGACGGAATTGCAGTCGCAGGTTGTTTGCAAATTGCGCTTTGGAGTCTTGTATTTAAGCCTATTCCAAAACCTGGCCATTCCTGACTTTGAAAGCTCGTCCAAGAAACCCACGTTGCGAAGTAGAGAGACCCAGTTTATCATTTCGGCGCCAACTTCTTTTCAGTGGTAAACCTTCTATCTTTTTGACAAGCACCTTCCCTGGTCATAGAACTCCTTACATGTTTGCAGCATCTGAACAGTGAGTCGAGCAATAGCTGGCTATGATTCGCACTACGCTAAAGTAGCAATGCGGTTTAGAGGGGACATCATCACTCGGTGATGTCAGTTCCTAGTCAAAACCACTGACAAATCGAATCATTAAGGTTTCGATGCTTTGGCATGCAACGTCACGCACACAAGACGTTTTTCACATCCAAAGTTTGTTTGTAAATTACTCATTTAATACCTTAAGGAGCATTTAGCTAGCCACAGAGACGGAAACGTGCCGGTGTTTAAAAGGATGCCTAGGATCTAAGTAAAAATGCGTATTCGATAGCATCGTGCAAGTAAACTTTGAGGGCAGTGTGTTGTGCATTGAAGCATACCTCTCGTATGTGTTTGTTTAGTCCGAAACAAAACAGCCTATGGACGAACATTGGGCCGAGGCGATCCTTCGGTTTATCACGCGTGCTTTTCGTCTATTTTAAATTTGAGGCCTTTCATAGCAGAACGTTGTTATATGTGCCTACATCCAATTAAAGCGATACTGCACTGTATTGTGCTGGAGTCATTCGCATGAACCCTATACCAGATAAAGTTCCAAGGAACGGAGCGTCTTGCATCTACGCATTACACGTGCACTTGTTTCCCGACCAGTGGCTCCCCACCGACGTTTGGTGCTCCGACCGTTCAGCCGACAGCCTCTGATTCAGTGCCGGTGGCAACATAATCCATCCAGTTAACTGCGCTTTCGGGTCGGTCCCCACTGATTAGGTTTCAACTGGCTCAATTTCCGTGAACTGCACTCACCTTTGTAGCTTGCTACTGAAGTGGCTCCTCAGGAATCGAAACCTTTTATCAATTGGTATTCATGAGGTGCCTGTGCTTGCAAGTCTTTGTTACGGTCCAGCTGCAGGGCAAACCAAAGTCAGATCCGCGTATTTCGTATTCAGGTGAGTCTTTCAGTGCTTCTCAATATACGGACGCCGATGAACCTTAGTAACAGTGTGAAATGTGGCATTTTGTTGCCAGGTATAGACCAACCTCGTGACCGAACTCATTCGGCTGTGCTTAGAGCATACGTGAGAGAAGGTGCGTTCAAAGTTAACGCATCAGGTCAGAGCAGGTTACTGACCTAAAACGACTCAGGCCAACATTTCGTTTTTAGCAGCATACCGCCTTGCATAATCCTGACGCTTGTTCGAATGGCAAAAAGGAGCAATCTCGTAGCTATTTGATCACCTTGACTTTTTAAAGGTCAAACAAGTCACTGAATTTAACTGAAAAATATGAAAGAACACTTCTGCTATTGTTTCGATAAAGGCATGCTGCAGAAATATCAACCCAACTGTATCTCAATTCTCCTGTTTTTCTCCGAAGAATGCGGCCAATACTACTGTCTTATCTACGTGAACAATGTTCCTCGCCAATGCACTGAACAACTTACTAAAAATGATGACCTTTTGCATAGAACAGGTATCTAGCTTCACAACGGTTGTATGAGGAGGCTTTGCAGCACTTAAGACACGAATTGGGAGTTTAATCTTAATTGACCTGATTTGACCTCAAGATCCTAATCCAGGAACCTCAAATTTGGGAAAAAGTGAGTTCACGTACACGCCAACCGACCCTGGGGATTCGGTGTCTTTAGCTATGTTAGTTTCCGAGATTGGGGGGGGGGTCAATTTGATCCCCACCCGAGCGAAAAGTAATCAACCGGGCACCCGGTTGCGTGTTAGCAGCATGATGTCAATTTTTTTACACTCCCGAGTGTCGGTTGTACTTCTGTGGAAAAGGACTCTGCTGTAGGTGGGGCATCACTATCACTTATTGAAGATGCTAAAGTCATGCCTGTACAGAGTTGTAAGAGGCTTAAGGAAATTCGCCGCAACAAGTTTGTACGGAATGAGCTAAGACAGCATCATTTAGGCATCACATAAGCTCGTTTTATGAGACATAATCCGTTTTAAGGATTTTGTCCGACCAAATATTTTGTTCCGTTAAAACTGTTCAAAGTTGCCCGCCGATTTTCACACTCGTTCAGCACATTTGTTCTTGCTAGGCCGTCGCAGAAGGCAGGGAGGGGGGTGCCTTACACGCGTCTTCCAGCAAGGAGTATTCTTCCCACTCGACGCTTTTTTATCGTGAGCAATAGCCCTATGGGAGATAGTCGCTACTTGGTGGTACTGTCACTGTCAGCGTCTCAATGCATACTTTTACACAAGAAAACAGAGCAAACGGTGCCCTATTTCAGCTGTTCGGGTTTTGTTGAAGTTGAAAACCAACTCTTTGCAGCCCCAATATTTTCCTCGCGCTCAGAGGCACGAAAGTGTCCGACTTCCCTGGATAGTCCTCCCGCTGCAGGGGCTGGCAGACGGCCCGCCGGCCCCAAGCGCCCAGTGCATTGCCGGCCAGCCCGCTCTGCAGGCAGGGTACTTGCTCTGCAGGACCACTCTGTCATTGGTCTCATGGGCAGACGCGGCCGGTTATCGCGAGCTGGCCGAGGGCTGAGAGTCAGAACCCCTGCCTGCTGCTCGCCTCAGAAGCCACATGAGTCGGTTCTTTGTAGCCCCTATGGTAGGGCGCTCCGCGCTTGCGCTGTCGGCGTGCACACACGCCGCTGACGGGCCGACTGGCGGCGTGTCGACAATCCTCGCGCTGGTGAGGGTCCACGCCGACGTGGAGCCGGCGGAAGCGGCGGTCACCCGCCGTCTGCTATCTTGGGACATAATGGAGATAAAGAGACAACTAACATTTTGTTAGATAGGTTACGAAACTGCATACAGCTTGTAACGTTAATAACTACTAAGCTTATGTCCAACATGAAGTTAATGTTGCAGTCATTTTAGGTCAGCTATCATATGTCGTCCACTTCTGTGCGATTGATCACCAAATTATCTTTTTTGTCTGAATCTGTAAGCAGCTGACCGGCTTGGTAAGCAAGCCTTGATACTGTGCCCAATCCACAACCGTGTTCTGCTGGCGTTTTACCGGAATTAACCAGCTGTCGAATTAGCCACATTTCAAAGTCTACCTACGTCAGTGGCCTACGAAGCCCTTTCGTGGGAAAATTACCATGCCCATGTGGAGAGAACAATGCCAAACCTAAAGACGAGTAAAAGCGAATAGATTGTGCCGAAAGAGCGCACATTGAACGATTGTGTGACACTACACTTTCAGCAGTGTTGACGAACTTGAGAAGCAAATATGTCACGCAGGTGAAGAAGCTAATTAAAATGGATAAATCGACACTTACCAGGGCTATCGAACATTAAAATGTGCACTTCCACGAAATATACCGTGCTCTGACACAAAAGGACTATGGGCTCTCCAAAAACGAATAAGTGAAAATTTATGGTGGTGGTGATGTGATAAAGCTTAATTCAACTTTACAGTTGGAGTGCAGTGCCTTACGACCATGTTTTGTTGCAGGAAAATGCACTTCTCACTGGCTGGCGTAGTGACATGTGCGCTGACCTGTCTTCTAACGTCGTCGTTGGTGGAGGCGGCGCCCATCGACGGATGCAGGCCTGAGTTCTTCGAACAGCTTCCTCTGCGCACGCAGAAAATGTGCACCAAAATATTGGCGCTCAAAGAAGTCCAGCGAGCCATGGAAGATTATCTAGAGGACGAATGTAAGCACGAGGGCGGTCATCACGCAGGGGAGATTTGTTGTTCCATGTTAGGTCAGATAACAAGATTTGCATCGACAAATTGCCTCTAAATGAAATCAAATGGGACGTGACACGCACTTGGTGCGTACAACTCTGGGCGCCGCTACATGACCGAGTGCATACAACTCTGGGCGCCGCTACATGACCGATACAGATGGTGAAACGCTCACTCCGACATGCTATTCAGAACTTAGCTGGTGTGTTTGTCACGATGATGAGGTGAGACGGGCATATCAAGACAAACTTATGCTCTTGTCTGTCCGACAGCACGACTTTCCGGCCTGCTTAGTCACACTATTATATTGTCTATAGTCTTCAGTCTAATATATATATATGCATATATATAGGTGTGTGCTTATTTATATAGATTTTTGAGTTTGTGTGTGTACAACTTGGGATACCTTTTGGTGATATAATCTCAGAGTTACCGACAATCTTTGCTTCGACATTCCAGACGTGCCAAGTCCGGCTCTTGGGCTGGGCGCCTCGGATATAAGCAACGCAATGTGCCTGTCATCCGTATATTTTCGGCCGTGGTATTTGGCCATCGCACCGCAATGCCGACTCGTATCGCTGCGTATTGAATTGATGCAATACCGTTCAGCAATGCCCAGCTTTGATGCGTCGGTCTCGAAGCGCCGAGCAGCGACCCTCATCTGCTGCAGTCCGTCTCACCTGGCGCGTGTCTGTCCGCAGTGCAGGGACAGATCGGGTTCAGTGACAACGGTGCGAAGCGGCAAGACATGGACCACGTGTTCCTGCGGTTCGGCCGGGCGGCCGTGTAGTGGCCGCCGCAACGCCATCCGTCGCCCCCAGAGGCGACTTCAGCGCGTCGCCCCGGCCGGCGGCGACACCGAGAGGCGCGTCGCAATCGGATCAGGCGCACCGTAATGCGCGTCGCCGTGCGTCGCGCGCCCGCGCCAGGGCCGGGGGGTGACGCGCGCGCGCTGTTTTTCGGGGCTGGCAGCGGCGTCGGGGGACCAGTGGGCGGCGCTGCTGTGCAGAGAAGCCGTAGCATCCCGACCGGACAAGCCGCGCCGCCGCGTCGCCGCTCGCCGCAAATGGCTTGGATGTCTAACATTTAGGATGCGTGCTCGAACAACTTCATTTGAGTTCTTGCACGCTTTGAAGGGGCTGTTTGACGGCTGGATCATGACAGCAGATTGCGAGGTGCGGTGGATGGAGTACGTGCTGTTGCAGCGCTTCCTTCGTCACGGTCGCACATAGCCAAATATCGTTTCCCCTGTGGAGCCGCACGATCTCAGCATCACGTAGTGAGTAGATTTACCTGTACGCATGACAGCGACATATTTTGTTTGGTAATGCTGAGGCAGATGGATGTTTTCCTTAGCGGTGATATATTTGTTTCGAAGCTGCTGAAGCAGATGGATATCTTGTTTTGCTTTTGCTTTAAGTGTTGCCTCGCCCAGTGCGAATAGCTTTATTTTTCACATCATTAAATATGGACCGTATGTTCTCGGGATGTGCATGATTCTGACATATAACGAGCTTAAATCATGAATTACGCCGCTAAAGAGGCCCGTTGGTTTACAACGCTCGCGTATTTGTAGACAACTACATTGAAATAACAATGGCTACGTCGCGCTCGCCCGTCATCTCGTGTTTGGAGACGAATATACTGAGATAGCAATGGCCGCGTTGTGTTCGTTCGTTAATCTGAGAATAACACTCCCTCGCCCGATATAATTGTGTAGAAGATAAAAAGTTCAAGTGACACAGTGCTGGAACGCTGTGACAGGATACACAAGCTGTCTGTACTGGCTGCCATTGCAATGAACAAGCTGTTGTCGCTGCGAAACACCGGCCTGGTGCAAGACAAAGTCGCTGAAATAATTTTTTTCTGACGGGAGTATAACTCCTGGATATACTCTGCTCCGCGTATCTATGGATACGCGGGCTGTTTATGGATACTATGTATATATACTATGTATATGTATGTGTATAACTATGGATAGCATTAATGCGCCGGTCATGACTTCATGACTTGTACATTTGTTTTCTTTTCTTCTTTACTAAAGGAACGGATGAGAGTGAGTTTGTCCGCCACATTTCTTTTGTTTCCCACCCAGGCCAAACGGTGGGAAATTTCGACGCGAGATTTTCACACGACCTTGTGTCGCCGGGAAAGGCTGTCCGTGTGACGTCACTACCCTATATTTCGAAAAAGTGAAGCGAGCGAGCGAGGCCAATTCACCGACCACCGGTCGACGGCCAGATACGTGTACTCCCGGAGCTATATCTCGACAACGACGGGTCGGAACGACACAACACCGGTACCGCTCGGGGCAGTTGCAGCAGCCCGTGTGCAGATGTCACCGGTGCCGCCCGGGGCAGTTGTAGCAGTCCGTCTGCAGCTGTCACCGGTGCCGCCCGGGGCAGTTGCAGCAGCCCGTGTGCAGCTGTCACCGGTGCTGCCCGGGGCAGTTGCAGCAGTCCGTGTGCACCTGTCACCGGTACCGCCCGGGGCAGTTGCAGCAGCCCGTGTGCAGCCGTCACCGGTACCGCCAACAGTAGCCCGAGCGGCAGTGGTCCCACCGGTTCCATCATCAACGTCGTCAACACCATCGTCAGGCTGTTCGCGTTGCATCCAGCTGTCTACTCCTGGGTTAAAGAAAGACACTAAGGGGCGCAGAAAATCTGTCATTACAAGCAGCGTCCCGTAAGAAAAAAAAACGCTGCTCGCCAAGAGCTAAGACAGGTGCCGAATTGCAGACGCAGACAGTCAGTGTCCTAGGACTGCCGCCTTTGGGTGTAAGCCAACATCCTATGAGGAGGATTTTCATGCATTTCCCCATTTAGATGTGAATTTTTCACTCCTACCTGATATTGTCTAACGACACATACCAAGCCCATATTTTCCTTTAAGAGGTTTTAAGGTGTCATCCAAAACCGAGCTCGCTTGAAACCATCAAGCATAAACAGGGCTACACAAAACCTGGACATCCATGGCTATATCCTGCCTCACGTACAACTTAATCATGCCTGTGTATGCACAGAGCAATGACACCTGGTACCTTCAAGCCCGAGAGTCTCAGCGACTTAAGCCGCTTGCATGTATCAGGTTTGGTTTGTTTACAAAACGCATATCATTCTTCAGCTGTGTGCCAAATGTAAGGCTTTCACGCATCCCCAATTTGTTTTGGACCACACCACGCAAATACCGCGCTAAAGCAAGCCTGATACAAACACCAGCAAAGCCTGGTAGATAATTTGACTCCACGTATTTTTTACCCGAAAAAACTTGACCATTAAATTGCCCCACTCCAAAATGTAGGAGCAACAATTCAAGAAATGCCTTCTGCATGACACATAAAAGCTGAATATCACAATTTGAGCACTTCTTTTCACAGATTTTTAGTCAAGTCAGTTGATAACAAAACATGCCCAAACAACTCTGAGTATTTATATATATATATATATATATATCTCTCTCTCTCTCTCTCTCTCTCTCTCTCTCTCTCTCTCTCTCTCTCTCTCTCTCTCTCTCTCTCTCTCTCTCTCTCGCTCTCTCTCTCTCCCTAATTACCTTTGTTTTTCTTAGTCTCATACGTGTGTGATGCAACTTCATTTTTCCTTTCTTTCCGATCATCTTGAAAGACAACATCTATGACTTGAAATGTTGACCAATTTCTCTGCAAAATATTACAACCGCAAGCTTGCATACATTTCATGCATACCTTGGATTAATTCACCAGCCGCCCAAACATGTTTGATATGCACCCAAGAGCAGACAATTCGTAAGAAATGAAAGAGATGATTTTAAGCACGGAACTTACTTTTTACGGCCATTTTTGCTTTGTTAAACCCTCAAACAGGTTCATGGCGGGGCTCAATAAGAATGAATATAAGCCACTCCAGCTTCACCATCTCACCACGTTACATTATCCTGTTGTACATAGCTTTGGGGGAGACCTGGCACAGGTAGTACAGAAGTGTTTGGCAGCGAAATGTATTTTAACCTTGTAGGTTGTTAGGCATGATTGATATGCATATTTTGTGGATGGGTTGGATGACCCTGTCTGTCAGTAAACCACGCGAAAGATGCTGACTTTTGGTGTGGGGAAGCAGAAAGAAGCCCGCCTTTAAATAGTCAGCAAATTTCTCGTGTGTAGCATCGAACTGCTGACCTTACCTGCTTATACCATATGATTTGTGAGCAGATTTATGCATTTTCTGTGTAAATCTATCGAGTTCTGTTTACAGGACAAATTATAATGCTACAATATATGTAATGCAATTGTTTTCTTCCATACTCTTTATTATTTGCCTAAAGTTTGTTGAAGTGGTCCCAGATGGCTACTTTAACAAGATGTTGTCCAAAGTTTGCCGACTGGCAAATGACTGTATCGTAGATATGCGTTATATTTTTTAACACGGGGTTTTCAAGCTGCAGAACAATTACAATATGAGGAAGATGTTGGTTTTTAGCAAACGGGGTGTCCCATTTTAAAGGTGAAGCCAACATCTCAAACTTCAGTCATTAAGTATTAATGACCAAACCTTAACTTGACCGCTAAATTGCACCACTTCTGAAAGGTAGAAACGAAAAATTCAAGAGATGTCTTCTGAATGAAATCTAAAAGCTGAATACCACAATTTGAGCACTCATTTTTACAGCTGTTTAGTTAGGTTAATTGATTACCAAATTTGACTAAACAGCTCTAAGTCTCTATATCTATTTAATCACTTTTGTTTTACTTGATCTCATACGATTGTACTACAAGTTTATTTTTCCTTCCTTTCCAATTATCTTTAAAGACGCCATCCAGGGCTTAAAATGTTGACCAATTTCTCAACCAAATGTTCCAACTCCAAAATTGCATATATTTTATACAGACATTGGGTTGATTCGCCAGCCGCCCAAGCATGTCTGTTATGTACCCACGAGCGAGGAATTTGTAGGGAATGAAGGAGACAATTTGAAGCACGGAACTTGCTTCATTTTTTTCAACAATCCATTTTCACCGCCATTTTTGCCCGTAAAACCCCTAGATAGCCGTTTTTTATTCATGGCGGGGCCAGTATTGATAAATCTAAGCCACTCCAGTTTCACTGCTTTATCACGTTACATTATCCTTCTGTACATAGCTTTCGGACGGGCCTGGCGCAACTCAAGCCCCCGCATTGCTGCATTCTGGGTAGCAATGCTGTGACGTCATGGGACTGAGGCATATGGCACCAACGCTATGGCGGCGTGGAAACGCTGTTCTTTGCGGGCTGGTGTGGACATAAATCTGTGCAAAAGCCGAATTGTTTTCAACCTAGCACATCCAATGAAACATTCTCAGCTGGGAAATGGCGTTGGTTTGCACCAGAGCCACACAGTTATTGCTGAAATGTGCTTCCAGCCTGCCTCCAACAGACAGATCGGGTTACCTATTCACCAGTGCAAACAGACATGCGCAATCATTGCCCATTAATTCACTTAATGTAAATAGTGCCTATGATGTTCATTTATTTGCATCTAAATACTCCTTTTTAAAAAAACAACACTTAATATAGATACTTACGTCCCCTTGGCCCCGACGAATATGCCGCGGGTGCTGCAGCTAGAAAACGTGGTTTAGTCGGATTCCTTTTTGCACTGAGATGCTTATACTGATTTGTACTTAGAAGGGTTTAATTGCAAAATTGGGATATCTTTTCATATAACATTAAAATAGAGGTGTAGAACAGGGCTGATATCCAGTTCGAGAACGACATCACCGTTCTTAATCATGTAACTAGTATCTACCAACTTTTTCGCAGTATCAACCAAAGACCACACTGTGAGCTGCCAAACAGGTCCCGCGGTGACGTCACGCCTGCGTAGCCTTTTCTAGTAGCCGCGGTGCAGCTAATACAGAAGCGTTTGGTAGCGAAATGCATTTTAATCTTGTAGGTTGGCTGGCATGGCTGAAAGCTAT